GTTCTATCCTGATTAGGGCCATGATTCACAGTCTAAGCTGGTCAGTCCTATTGTTTGCAGATTTTCTGCCACAGTTGATGGTGTCTGAGTGGGGCAGAGACTAATTTCTTGTCTTTCAATTTAACTTCAAACCAGTTACAAAATATTAAACATGTATGATTTATGTGACCGGAACCTGGATGCAATATATTAAAGTTTGCTTATGAACCACTCAATTCAGAATGGAAAGGATGTCATCTAGGGCTGCAACTAACTATTATTTACATAACTGATTAGTCAGTCCATTATTTCAATGAATCGAAGAGGACAATCGCAGTATTGCAAAATTTATTATGCACAGTCTTTTTTTGTTTCTTTTAATACAAATACAAGCATTACTTCACTGAACACAGCCTTTTTCAAACAAAGCTCTTTCTTCCTTACTTTCTAAATCAGAATTATCAAAAAACAAAATGCCTTACCATAGGCCCAGCAACAGATTGTCTGCATTACTCTTGAAAACATAATTTTAATCAGTAGGAAACATGAAAATTAAAATTATTTTTCCACTATTTATAAAGCAAAGCTAATTTAAAGCTTTGTAAGGTTTGGAGATTTGGGGATTTAGAGACCTCTCTAGTGGAAATGTGTAACTGCATGCAATGAACAATGTACATTTTGTAACGGCAGATGTGCTTCAGACCCCTTCCCAGAGTTGAGGAATCTAATGATTGAGTATGTTGAAAGAATATTTAAAAACAACAACATAGTGAATGACGTATCTTCCGAGGATTTAACGGAATGATCTACTAATCATCTTCATGTCTTCATCACTATAACTTTGATTTTGCTTTTGAGACCTAAACATTAAGCTGGACCTTCTTTTTTTAGTTTGTGCGTGTGATGTTAATATGTAAAAACGTATGACGTGGTCCAAAAAACTCGAGCAAAATCTGAGCCTCTACCTTTTAAGTTGCTATTTCAGGCTTAATAGGGTGACACACAGCCACACACACATACCATATTAACATGATCTTTTTTTCCCCTCATGATGCTTCTTTTAGTTTTAACAAAATGGTTTCTGTAGTCGGTAACATTATAATAAAATTTTATAAAACAGAGCACACAGAAACAGCCCAGCTATCAACGACGCCAGACATATTTATGTCGTAATATTTTACCTGTCATTTGTGGGGGGTAGACACAGAAAAGCTTTAAAAATCTGCACCCTGTAGAACATTTTCCGAACGCTCACTTGTAATTAGCCTAAAACTATGACATTAAAACAGACACAGATTTCAAAGTTGGTTTTCTCTAAGATGCTGTCGTGCCAGGTAAGCTTGGTTTTACATGTACATAAAACAGCTTTTTTTTTCCTCCCAAAGTGAAGTGCTGAAATATTTTGGGCTTTCTGAGTTATACATGCACTGCATTCTTTGTTATTTCCTTTTAATGAACATTAATGAGAAGCATAAATGTTGGCAAGCAATGCAGCTGAAAACTGAAAGTCTTCTCCCAATAACAGGAAAGTATTTTCTTTTTCTTTATAAAGCCAGTCTCAAAATCAGTTAGGTAGTGTGAGATGCCCAGTTTTTTATAATCTAAAAGTGATGCAATCTATCCAAGCTTTAAGTAGACAGGTTGGAATGAGATGTTTACCCATATGAACATCTGGAGGAGAGGAGGAGGGTGTGAGCTGGTGCTCAGATGCTGGGCTCTTGAGCTGGCTGTGTTCCAAACCACAGGGTTCTGAGGAGGAGACAGGGTATCTCTGCAGGCCCGCTGGTGTGCTGGGGGGAGTGGGCATAGCGCACACATCGTCGGGGGGTGGGACAGAGAACACCACAGGCTTGGAGCCACTCGTCTCTCTGTTAATCAGCATCACCTGAATGGGAGCCGACTCACTCCGCAGGTTCACTTGGTATCTCTTCTGCCCATTCTGAGCCTGATATAACAGATGTGACACAAACAAGAGAAAATGTATTCCCTAATTATCAGTGTTCCTTTTCCAGCTCAATCTTGGCTTTCCTTGATTGAGGATTTAATGCTGCTTACCACCTCAGGCACCGGAACCTCTAGCTGCGTCCCTGCCGGTGCCATTACTGCCAAGAGGGTGTCACCACTGAACACATCACATATATCCTCATGTGTCACATAGTTATATGTGTGCAAGGTAAAGGAAAAAGCTGACAAAAGAGTGTTTAAAAACAGACTTTTTTTACATTTTTTTTGCATATAAATAGTCTTTAGTTTATCAATAGTAGCGAGTTTGCCTGATAATCCAGAATAAACTGAAATACTTCAACTACAGACCAGAAAAACTGGACTCACAACAACTGCACACAGCCACAGTTAAGCAGTTACTCATATAATTAACGGCACTTGAACAAACAATGGTGTTGAGATTACCCTGGAATTCCACAGTTTTCAGATCTCTTAAGGGCAGAGACTGTCCAAAGCAGGTAAACTGTCAGGACTAACTTAACTGCAACTTGTAGGACAAACTTTCCTCTCTACTCAACTGCTGTGACTCCTGATGTAGCAAGTCCTAAACTTTAACTAAATTATTTCATAGATTATTTCTGAAGGATGCCATCAAAATTCAATGGTACCATCCTGGATAGGCAATTGATATTCATATAAGAATTTTAAAGCCAATCTGTCCTATAAAAAAGCAAATAATATTATTATAGTTCAACTTTGGCTAATAGAAAGTGGAAATGTGATAGCATGTTCCATGTGTTCATTTAGACCACCATAAAAGTCTGCCAAATTTGGCTATTTAAAAAAAAAAAAAAACAGGTCCTGCCTGATAATGCGGAAGGAACTCTTTTCAGGTAGTTACTGAATGAGCCGTCGGCACGATATGCAATATTATCTACTAAGACTTCCAAAACTCAGTCATGCTTGGCTAGAGCCATTGTTTTCAGACATGAACAGTGAATGCATAGAGCAAGGAGGTTGTTACTTTTACATCCAGGAAAAACTGCCTAAAAGGATATCTGCAGCAGCTGGGGTCTTCTTTGAGGTGTTTCAGGCTCTGCTGCAGACATGATTTCTGCATGTCCAGTTCCCTTTCCTGCCTCTCCAGCTCAGATATCTGTGCCTTAAGAAGTTCCACTTGCTCCAAGAGCTCCTGTGGCTGGCAGTCTGAACCTTCTCCCCTTAAAGATTAAACAGTTTAAATAATTATCATTCCCCCACCACTAACAGTAGTACAGTATTGTAAATGTATTCTGTAATGGCAAAAAAGCACATTGTGTGTATAGGTTAACACACTTGACCATGTTCATCTGTTAACATATACCAAAAATCATATATTTTAAGAGATATGGCTTAACCAAGTCAAAGTTTTTCTTCCCACTCACTTCCACTGGATGGTGTTTTTGGTCTTTTTCTCAATGAGCCCTATTCCTTCAAGAACATTTGTGATATCGTAGATCCTCCTTTTCTGTTTGACCGCCAAACTGTCTGCAGCCTGCAATCAGAACCACAGGAACAAGTTCACATTTCACTAGCACAAACAGCTGGCAGAACAAGAGACCACAGGGTGAACATTAGTGTGGGATTAGCAATTAGGCTTAGAGGTAGGGCAACACAAAAGAGGAGGGGGAGGGGGACACAACAGGAAATCTTTAGGATCTCTAGACCTTACACCTGCCAGAAACCAGGCATTTGTCTACGTTAGCCATGACTAAATCTGATAAATTTGTAATGTTATTTTCTATAGGTACAGACAGAGCTGGGGTATACAAGTCCACAGTGCCTCAGTGTGCTGGAATCCCCAATACTGAAGGTCTAGCAAATTAACCACTAGCTAGCTGTGGTTAATTACTCATTCAGCGCCCGCTCTCTTGTCCACTCATGAACTCAGCAGGTTATTTCGGGCCAAATTTCATTTTGAAGTTATTTTACATGCTTTCAAATTTCGTTTTAGTGATGTTAACTAAGTTAACCCATGTATTTCGACCACCTGCCACGAAAGCGACCCTCTACTGGTAATGTTAATGAACTAACGTTAATGTTTACCTCAGGTAACTAACGTTTTAGCTAAGCTAACAGCACGAGTCGTTTGTAAACCAAGCAAGTCGGAATAAATCACTGAAACTCTGAAGCATTAACGTTACACACCAAACTTAACAGTTTACCAGCTAGACTCTCACAGCAGCTGACTAGCAATTAAACTGGTCAACTAGAAATAACAAACTGTGGAGCAATTTGAAACGGTTTTTCTGTTTCTGTGGAGTCGCCGCTGCCAGACTTCTTCAGTTCAACCGGACGAAGCTGAAGTCAGCTTGGTGTTCGAATTTTCCCGTTCCACCTTAAATGGTGCAGCAGTTACATTCTGGCGTCTCAAACCACAGGGCGCCAGAATGGAACTGCTGCACTATTTAAGGTGGAACGGGAAAATTAAGTACAAGAAGCTGAAGAACAAGAATCCCACGGCAGCCTCGTCTCAGCCAGTTTGTTCATTCAACAAGTTAACTACAAACTGACGGGCTGACTTAGCTACACGGTCTGTGACTGAGTCAAGAAGGAAGGAAAGATAGTTTACGAGCTTAACGTACCACTTTTAAATCGAGAACGCCGTCCTTCGCCTCCTGCAGCAGTGTCACAAACTTGATAGCGAGCAGACCCAAACTCTTCTCATGGCGACTGGACCCATTCGGAACCGAGTGGGAGCGACTCGAGCTGCTCATAGTTCCAAACCCCACAGCTTGAGATTGTTCTTGAAAAACACAATACTGTCCAACCATTCAGCTCTAGCAGACTTACTGAAAACAGCTATCTAGCGTTAGTTTGGCTACCCACAGCAAAGTCTGTGAAAACCCTCCTGTTCATTTTTTTTTTTCACCTCAGGGGAGAACAACTCCACAGAGCTCCAGGGATTTTAAATGAAAGGAAATGACGTTGAGTTACTGTTACCATGGCAACCTCGCTGCTTCAGCAGTTAGTGTAGCATTATATACGATCTTGGGTTCAACTCCCGAAAAAACACAAGGAAACAAAACGGTATTGGAAAATTGTTTAATGGTTTTCAAAGATATTTTGGGCTAAAAGAATGCCTTAATTCCCAGTACAAAATATACATGGATCTTAAATCGCACCACAGACATAACAGGTCAAACTAGGTGACAGCAAATCTGAGCTGAACCATTATAATTAAAGTAACTTAGCCAGCTACATATTATATTATTTGCAACACATAAAAATAAATATTACTAAAACTACATCTTCGGTAGGTCAGCCTGGCCAACCCCACCAAAAAGTCTTCTACTCCACACTTCAGACATCCTCTAAAACTGCCAAGGCACTTCCTGACGTTTTTGTTGAGGTTATTCAATGGAAACAGCATTTATATGGTTAGAAGTCTTTGAGCACGTTGGTGAGGCGTCTCATTTTCTCCTCCATTGCCCTCTTATTGCTCTCGGTTTCCTCCAGCAGCTGCCTCATCTCTTCTTCCACCTGGAACACCTGCATGAAAAATCAGGAAAGCCATTCAGTGAAGCCAAAGGCATGTGACAGATTGCTTAAAAAGCTCAAGATTGAGCTCATTTTACAACTAATCTGGACTTATACTATGATATTACTAATTCAATGTTTTTCTTTTTGCTGTTCTTACTGTTCAGTTAGGGCCAACAGGTTAAAAATAAAATAAAGCAGAGTGGACTGCCTGTCTACTGTTGCTGTCCAGTGTAGGCGAGCAACATCAATTTCATAGTAATGTAACGGTTAAGCACAACTGTTCTGAGACTTTTTGAAAAAAACATGTATCCACCCTTTCATCCACTGCATGAAGAATTTTTTTTTTTAGTATTTTTTAGAAATTAGCCCCCTTTGGTCATGATGCAGCTTTACACACTCTTGGCATTCTCTCAAGCAGTTTCATGAGAAGTTTTATTACTAATGTTGCTTCTTGCCAAGATCCTTTAAACTGTAAATACACCACTGGCTTACATTTTAGTGTCTAGTTATTATATAACATTATAAAATGTAATCTAAAGTTACACTGTACAAGTTATTATTGAATATTATATGACAAGCAATTCTAAATTTTTGAGTATTGAGCATTTATTTTTTCAATTTTTGAATTTAAGTGAAAAAATTTGAAAGGCAATCAAACTTTTGTATCTGTCTTAGAAACAAATTTCATATGCTTGTAAGCTTAAGTTTTTAGATCAGAATGGCTATCATTATGAAAAGTGCATATACAGTTAGGTGTAAACTTTTGACTGGTAAAGTAAATGACATTTCTAGGTGAGGCTAGAAAGGAAATAGCTTTTTTGTTGTAGTACCCTCTGATTGGCTTGCTCTATCTGTTTCTGTTTGTCATTTGCCAGCCGTAGCAGCTCAGCCTGGTGAGAAGCCTGAAGAGATTCCAGTTGTCTACGGAAAGCATCGTCCACACAGTGAAGCTTCTCAACAGCTGCCCTAAACAAGAACACATGTTAGAAAGATATCAAATGCAAAGGTGACGCTGACCATACTGAGACATTGTGACATCTCTTTGCTCTTACTTATGTGCTTGGGATGCTTTATCCTTTTCCTCCAGTAGTGCTTTCTCTTTGGCGTCAAAACCCTCCTTCATACGTTTCACCTGGCTCTCCAGCCTGGTCAGCAGCTCCGCTTTGTCCTGCCATTTTCGGCTTGAAGTGCTGGCACGGTTTAACAACAATGACAACAACAGGTTATAGCAATAAACTTTACTGAAGGACTCCAAGACTCAGATTTCTTTAAATATCTTTTACATCTTGCATGCAAGGTTTGACATGCCCTTATTTGCATGTTACAGTATTATCATACAATGATTCTACATTGTTGTAAATACCTTGTACATTGAATTTACATAATGGGCATATGTATTTCTTGCTAAACCTTGCATATTTGCACCTGTTTACAGACATAACCCATTCATTTATTTTTTACATTTAACATACACTATATACTTGAGATAGGCCTCTGATTGTACATGCCCAGCAATAGGCACATGTGTGGCTACATAAAGCTGACAAAGACATTTCAAATAGATACTTACACTGAACAAATATTATAATACAATTTGCATAAAGATTTAAAAAGCTCATTTGCAGAAACAGATAGAGGTTATATTATCATTATGGCAATAAAACACATCCTTTTATTCAATTAATACATTGTAATGGTGTATTACTGTAATCAGAATGTATTAATCTATTATATTACAATTTACAAATACACACACACACACACACACACACACACACACACACACACACACACACACACACACACAGACAGGCCAATTCATTAAGTACACCTCCTTGTTTCTACACTAATTCTCCATTTAACATGTAACATATCAGCTCCACTTAACATATAGGGAATCTTGTAGTTCTACAATTACAGACAGTATCCCACCTATTTCTCTGAATACTTTGTTAGGCCCCGTTCACCAAGTTCTTTAATGGTCACTACCCCCACAGGACCACCACAGAGCAGGTTTATTTGGGTGATGGATCATTCTCAGCACTGCAGTTACACTGACGTGGTGGTGCTGTGTTAGTGTGTTGCGCTGGGATGAGTGTTATCAGACACAGCAGTGCTGCTGGATTTTTCAAACACCTCAGTGTCACTGCTGGACTGAGAATAGTCCACCAACCACAAATATCCAGCCAGCAATGTCCTGTGGGCAGCATTCTTAGGCCACTGATGAAGGATTAGAGTATTACTAACACAAACTGTGCAGTAGGGGTGCAACGATTATTCGACGACCTAATTGGCAACTAATTTAGTAGTCGATTACTTGGTGTTGGAACAGAGAAGCATGTAACTATTATTATTATTATTATTATTATTATTATTTACAGCGACCTTCACTTTCCAGATAACGTTTAAACACTGCATCGCCGTCTTAACGCCGACGCCACCGGTGCGATCAGATTAGGCGAACATAGGAGAGCGTTTACAAACAGTTTTCTGTTCTCCGCGAACGCTGGCCACCACTCGCTAACAGTTTAGGTAGCTGGATAAAGGGTTACCGTTGAAGTGAAATATTTTCACAAAATCGTTAATTTGACAGTTCATAGAGAAATTTGCCACAGACATTCGCCAGTTTCCCATCCGCTCCATCAGAGCGCATCTCCTCTGCAGCGGGGAGTATCCGCTCTCAGATGAGGGCGAGACTCTCACAGGAGCACTGAGAGATACTGACTTCGTTTCAGTAAAGACCTGCTACTATAGAATTTAGTTGCAGCAAAGTGCAGACAGACAGCAGAATGCGCAGAGCACAGACTGCACTGTTTAAATTTAACATTTAAATTTAGATTGATTTTTTTTTATTTACTTAATTAGAGAAAAACTGATTTAGTTTTGTTATTTTATTGCTGCTACTTTGCACATCCTTGGTTATAAATTTTTACAGGAAAAATATATTAAGAATTTTATTTTTTTTATCTTTTGTATCAGCAAAAAAGTGAATTAAAACAGTGATTTCTTAAATGTTATTCATCTATACTGTCTTCATTGTTAGTTAGTAAATGCATAAAGCAACCTCAAGCTAAATTTAAAACCTAATAGCTACATAAGTTATTTGGTAATGTAGTGATTCATAATCCGATTAATCGTTTCAGTAACTGATAGATTATTCAACTATCAAATTAGTAATTTGTTGCATCCCTACTGTGCAGCACAGATGCGCTATTGTCTCTGACTTTACATCTTCAAGGTGGACTAGGTGTGTCTTATAGAGTGGACAGTGAGTGGACACAGTGTTTAAAAAGTCCAGCAGCACTTAAAATCACGATTTCCACAGAGTGAATCTGTGCTAGTTCTAAGTCTAGGCTACCTGTGAAAAGGTACCTGTATGCTTCTTTAAGCTCATCCATCTCAGCCTCTTTGTCGAGAAGCTGTTGTTTAAGCTCCTCTTTCCTGAGGCTGAGTTTATTCACTGTCTCTCGGAGCTCGGTCATTGAGGCCATCTCCTCCTCTAGTTGCTGCTGTAATCTCCTCTGGACCTGCAGATTCTCGTCACGCACAACACGAAGCTGCTCGTCTCTTTCCTGCACTGCCTGAAAGAGGTAATGACAAGCTGTTTCTTTTTATTGTTATGTATGAATACGCTTCACACTAAAGTTCATATTAAATGACGGTGAAATCACCTCTTTTAGCTTGCGGATTGTCTCCGTCTGATCATCCACTATCTTTGCTTTGATCCTCAGTGAGTCATTGTCCTTCTCATTCAGTTTCTTCTGAGTCTCCAGCTCAGTAGTCAGAACCTCAATTTTGGCCTCCAATCGACCTCGGTCCTGGGCAAGTGACGCTCCTACAAAACACGACATCAGCTCCTTTACCATTTTACTAGGGATGCACTGATACAGAGTTTCTGGGCCAATATGATAACACATAAATCACAGTCTTAAAGCTGCACTATGTACGTTTTGGGGATTTTGAGACCTCTCTGGTGAAAATGTGTATGCAACATGTGGAAAAACATTTTGTAACGTCGGTTGTGCTTCAGTCCCCTTCCCCGAGCAGATGAATCTGATGATTTCGAGCACGTTGAAAGAGTATTCAAAGAGCACGCAGTCAAAACTTGTTGAAGGACGTGTCTCCTGGGGGTAAAAGTAAATTATCTACTATCGTCATCATATCTTCATCCGAATAATGTTGATTTTGTATCTGAAACCTAAACATTGAGCTGGACCTTCTTTTTGAGCCTGTGCGTGCAAAGATAATACATAAACACGTACGACATGGTCTTAAAAAAACTCCTGCGAAATCCCACCTGACACATCAGACTTTTAAATTATTTCAGACTTTACAGGGTGACTCGTACATCCTATTTTATGATCTGGCTAATACTGATAAACAATTGATCATTTTGCTCCCCATTATATCTATATGTATTATATCTATTTATATCTATATAGGAAGATAAAACTAAAGATCGATAATTTTTATATAGCATAGTAATGACACGATCAGTTATTGCAAACTTTAACACATTTTTTAGCGATCTTACCTAGTGCCATTAAGAGTCTTACCCAAGGACTCTCATTGTGGCACTCTGTTCTGGTATAGCAGTTGTGTGCTTATCGTAAGGGGGAAATCGAATCCCCTCCTCTCATTTGTTGTCCATTATGCTATCCACTTGTGAGTTTAAAACAAGAATGTTACATTAATGGCACTGCATGATTAAGTGTCATAATTCCAGTATCAGACAAATAATAATTACATTTTCCCATTTACTGGCAAATAATATTTTGGCTACCATTATGCCATACACCCCTCCATTTTACTAAATTATGAGTTATTCCTAAATGCAGTGACAGTGGTGGTACCTTGCTGGGCCAGCTCCTGCCCCCAGAGCCGTCGCTCTGCCCGAAGCCCTTCTATGACAGACTCCTGTGCAGCGAGTTGGGAGATAAGCCTAGTCTTTTCCTTCTTCAGGAGTTCCAGTTGCACACTCAGACGCCTGTCCTCCTCTGCCCCTGACTCCAGTGTCCGAACTCGCGTCTAGAAAACACGCTCACAGTTAATACAATACAGAATTGAATCCCCAAAGGGTAACATATTTGCTAAGGTCAAATAAAAACTAAGTAGGCTGATATGCTGACTGTGTTAACTGTGAAACTAAACTGCTCCTTACCTTCAATTCTGTTACAGCATCACGTTTAGCTTTGATGAGTTCAGCTATGCGAGTTTTCTGTTCTTTCACCATAGCTGTGAGCTCCTGTACCAGAGAGCCTGACTGCTTCTCTCTTTGCTGAGACTCAGTCAGAACTGCCTTCACCTCTGAAAGCTGAGCAGACACAAGCTCAAAGCCCTCCTTCACCTGGCCACACACACACAGGGGTCATTTTCTAGGTTATTTTGCAGCAATACTATGATCCAGAATGATGAATAGGGCTATAGATCATGTTGTAATAACCAAAGAAAGCTGTATAACTTTGAGAATGAATTTATAATAAAATTAACATCTAGACTGCTTTTCAAAAAATCTCAGGCAGATAACTAATTAGTATTAATATTTACAATATATTATTTAAGTTTATGATGCCCCCCCCCCAAAAAAAAACAAAATACACATCTTAAAATACCTAGCTTATAGTATTTCAGTACTACACTGCAGTACACTTATAATTAGTAATGAACAAAATAACAGCAATTATTAAAGGGGAATTTCACCAATTTTTAAAATCTGCTCAATTAAATTGTTAAGACTTAAATAAACTAATTCAGAGTAGCTTGATGTGAAATGCTTCATTCTAGAGAAACAAACAGCGTCAGAACTGTTCACAGTATTGGTGATAGGAACCAGACGTCTCAAGAGTTTAACACCTCTAAATGGCTCCCTCACAGAAAGCTGTTACATGAAATGGTTAGGGTATACGTTGCCTGATGTCTGAGACATTATTTTACAATAGTTTTCTGATTAGCTATTGGCAGAAAACATATTTTTTTATTTATACATGGTGGAGAGGTACATGCAGGATGCTGAAAGGCAAAATAATCCCCAAAAAAACATAATTTGTTAGATTTATCACTATTTTACCTTATCAAATTTACACATAAAAACTCAGACGACACATATACACTCACTAGTTTAGACAGTAAAAAACTGGTTATATATGTGTTTTAGACCTCACAATTTCTGATTTGTCACCACCACTGTAAAGAAATTAGAGTCAAAATATTTCTCTAGAATAGTGCATTTTTTGCACTATTTTTTTCGAAACACTTCCCCTTTAATTTGACAGTGATTCCAAACTTTTGAATAGTAGTTTACATCATCACTGTCCTTACTGCCAGCATCAAAATTTCCTACAAAAACACAGGCACTGACCTGAGGTCTACTTCATATCTCACTGCACCTGACCGATACTGCACAAAAAAGATAGATTAATTTAGTTTTTTTTGGTTACGATACTGTAAGTAGGGCATTTAGACTACAAACTGTAGTTCTGTTAAGGAGATTTGTTCTTCATAACTTGGGCGTGATTATTTTCCTGCCCCATGCCAAATCCAACACGTTTAGCGAGTTTAAGTCTACCCCTTCTCAATGTGGTGACAGTGCTGTGTCAACTAACTTAAGCATGTCAAAACATCCTCATGCCATCATTGGCAGCAACTTTATTTGTATGGATAAAACCACATTAAATAAAAATAAGCTTCAAATACCTGTAACACTCACAACTTCCAGAACACTTTACATTTCAAGAGATTTCCTTACCTGGAAAATTAGTCTCTAAACCAGTGGCTCTTAATAGTAGAAGTCAAACCCACTGTTCTGCACAGTTTCAACTATTCTCTGCCCCAACACATCTGATTCAGCTCATTAAGAGCTTGATTAATACCTGTTAACCCAGATCAGGTGTGTTGGGGCAGTTTTAAGCAGGGGTGGATGATACACAGTACTTCTGTGCTTTGCTCTTTAAAAGTAGATGTACTCTTTGTAAAATACTATTTGAGTATATTTCTATATTTCAGTTATGTAGTAAAATCATCTTATTGTATTGGTGAATAATTTTCGCTTGTGGCAGTTGTGCACCTTGAATGTGGATCATCACATCTGGCTGATATATGTTCTTTTTAATAAGGTTAATATCAGTGCTGATATAGCTATATTAATCAGACAGAAAAGTTCACCAAAGCCTACCTCAGAGAAGCGCTTAGCTTCGATGGTGAGAGCCATGCGGAACTCATCCTCCAGGGCCGCATGCTGCTCTCTGGCCTCTGCCAGCTTATGCTCCATCTCAGCCTGTCTCTGAGCATGCCTCTGCTCCACAGCTGCCACCTCTGTCCCCACGGCCTCCCGAAACTCAGTCCCACCAGGAACCAGCCGCGCAGACAGCTCCTTCCTGACCAACACAAATAAAGGAACAAAGGTCGACAAAAAATTCCATCATAGCTCCTTACCCTAGATGCAGCTGATCAGGCACTTTTGATGCCACTTTTGCATTAGAGTTACAAGGCTAATGTTGCTAACAAACAATGGAAGCTTGCACCCTGCAAATTAGTAGGAATCTAGCAATGCAACAAAATACTGTGGTGTAACAATGCAAAACAGCAACAGTGCGTTGTAGAGATGTAACAACACATTATGGACAGTAGGCATTGTATTAATTATGCCATCCAATGTAAACGCATTGTTTGAACACTAAAGTTTGCGAACAGCCAGTACCAAAAACAACAATTGTTTTGCAATCCAACGTGGACCAGAGCAGGATGGTTTCCCCTTTTAAGCCCTCTCAAGTTTTCTTCCTCTTGCTCTGAGGAAGTTTTCCTTGCCGCTGTCACCCTTGACTTGCTCATTTGGCACTTGGAAAAGGATTTTCTGTAAATCTGCTTTATGACAACACCCACTGTAAAAAGCGTTAATAAATCTTGAATCTTAAAAAGCGTAAATAAATCTTGAATCTTAAAAAGCGTAAATAAATCTTGCCTTGACTTTGATTCACTTGCCTCAAATCATACTGTCTGTTAAGTAATCTCAAATAGACTTGCTTATGTGGGTCGTGGCACTGTATGACATACTGTGATCTATAAAAATGGACAAAATCATGGACAGAATTCAGGCTTCAAATGATCGTTGCTGCCATTATATTATGTATATTATATTCCATTATATTAATTTTTCTTTTACTTTATGTGCGTCTTTGTTATAGTCATTTGTGTGTGGAGTGGAATTGGCACCTATGTGCTTCCTCCCTGGAGGTCAGCAGCTCCTGCAGTTGTTGTAGTTTGTCTTTATGCTGCCGTAGTGACACCCTGAGTATTTCCACTTCTCGCCTGAGGACAGCACACTTGTTCTCCAGCTCCTGCTTCCTTTTCATCTGAGGGAGAATTAAAGCTCATGACCACCAAACACAGAGAACATCATATTGCCAGGCTGATACATTATTATTTATAAAACGTAGTACTGGGAACTACATTTACTTGGATATCATTTATATATCACCGTCATTACCAAAAATGTCTGTTGAATAAAGGATCAAAAACTTGCCTTTTGGTCTAGTGTCTATAATATTTAAGTCTACACTATGTAACTTATTATCAAATAAAATAACAAGAATTAGTAATGTGACAGGTGATTCCTTTCAGATGTCCAAATTATTAACAAACTAGTGCAACTAACTGGTGCTAATCCTAACCCTAACGCTGTTAAAGCACCAAACTTTAATAGTGTTAGGGTTAGGATTAGCACCCAATAGGTTTAGGACCAGGGTTTTGGGTTAAGGTTAAGGTTAGAGTGAGTGACAAGTTTACAGTCAGGAAAAAGTGAGATGAATTTAATATATCATTGCTGTCCAAAGAAAACCATGCATGTCTATTTTTGTCGATTTTTATTTTTCTACATCATTTCAACACACCAGCTGTCCTATATGTTGTGTGAAAATTTCATGATGAATGGACCAATAGAAATGCTCTAAAATCACTTGGAATAAAACCTCTTTACATTAACTTACATTGAAAGGTAAGTGTGTTTTGCCTTCTCCTGTAAAGTTACTATTTTGGAGATACTTGTTTTTCTTTGGACAGTAACGATATATTTAGTTAAATCCTAATCCTAAAGGCAAGGTAAGCACCTACAAAAGCATTTACAAAGAACTTTCCAAATAAAGTGTTACTAAACTCTCACATCTTAGTGTGGTGGTCAAATTTTTATGCCACATGGGAAAGAACAGGCACTGCTGAACAACTGCTTAAAACTTCCTTTGCTCTGTCTTATAGCATCTACACAGAAGCTCTGTCAACCAGCAGCTTTACCTCCTCAGCCTTCTGCCCGGCCCTGAGCGCCTCTTCCTGAGATACACACTCCTGCAGATTGCGCAGCGCCCTCTTGTGTAGGTCCTCTTGGCTGCGCAGCTGCTCCAGCTGTTCTGCTGCAGTGCTGCACCTCTCCTCCAGCTCTTCTACCCGAGCCTGCAGCACTGCCCGGTCTGAGCGCTCCTTCAGCAACAGCTCCTTCAGTCTGTGTGCAGGACAGGTGATAGTAATAGGAAAAACTGACAACTCGGCTGAAGAGAAACATCTCTCTCTTAGGCATATCCCTGATTCTCTATTATACATTACAAAATATAAAAAAGTCACTAACAGAGGTTTGATGTGAAATGGTACATCCTAGATAAATTTACAGTCAGAATTGTTCACAGTGGTGGTAATGGGAACCAGATGTCTGAAGTGTTTACTGCCACCAAAAGCTACAACACTGAAAGCTATTATTATTAAATATTAATATTTACAAAGGTCTTACTTAAAGTTTTTAAAATTATTTGCTAAATACATTAAGGGCAAAGAGATACATGCAGGGTATTTTAAGGCAAAATAAAATTGTCACTATTATATCATGATCAAAACTACATATAAAAACAGAAGACATGTAGGTTCACTAGTGGTTTTGAATAGTAAATAAAATGGCTAGGTTCGTTGAACCAGATGGAAGCTAGCAACTTTCTCTACAATTAACCATTTCACAGCAAACCACTCTGAATGTCTTGGTTTAAATATCAATGATTTAATTATGCCAAATTTTGTAAAAAAAAATGTAGAATTCCCTTTTAATCACCCAGCAAACTAAGCACACATAACAGAATATATAATAAATTCTCTTCATCACTCTGGTTTTGGGCAGAGTTAAGGGACTTCACTCTGACCTCTGTAAGGTTAGAGTCATTAGCAAAGTTTGATGGATGAGCTTCTCAAGACATATGCCTGATAACCCACCTTTAGTCTGCTGCTTAATTATAATTAAGAGCAGACTGAAACACTAGAGACCTGTGCATGAGCCATTTTCCACATCCAGTATCCATATGGATGCTTGCAGTTTAAACTATCTAAGCTCAGTGATGTGTAATTTGAATTATTCATAAACATACTAAAAAAGCCTCCAAGTCTAGCAACACAGCTTGAGCTTGCAGTGGTACTCGACTCAACACCCTAGTTCTTTTAATTCTCCTCTTCAAATATTCCCTACAAACACAGACTTTGATTAATTGTATAAAAAAAAGGTTTTGAAGTTTCCAGAATCTACACTCCATGCATCATTAGCTGTTTCCTTTTCCCCATAACAGAATTCTTAGTGCTATCAAACAGCATTTGCTTTAATAAGAAATGTCTCATCTCCTCTATTCAATGGACAGATTTATTGGAGTCAGATTATATCAACATTACTTATAATGTAAAGAAATAATCCGGCAAAAAAAAAAATTACCATTACCCTGCTCAGCCAAGACACGTTTGGTGCCATTAGTTCACCTTTTTAGTTTTCAACTGGAGCAAGGAAGCTAATGTACCTAAAAAGTAACGGACGCATATGTACACCAAGTAGCACTGTGCAATCTGCACACCTAAATCAAAACAACACACATAACGTAATCAACTAACGTAATCATCGACCGGCATGTGCAGTTTCTGACACTGTATAATATGCTGTTATCTATAAACAGAGACAAAAGTACAGACAAAATTCAGTCTTTGGTTGCTGATACTACTGTTGTAGATAACATAAATAAACATGTCTTGGCTAATCAACTACATTTGGAGTAAATTGTTTTAAAAATATTTTTAAAACTATTTCTTTAACAATACATTGCAGACATTCATCCAACTCTAGGGGTTAAAAGGAATATGTTAACAATAGTCTTAACATTTTTAAAGTGCAGGCTTTTTATTCAGTTATTAATCTTAAAACATACTATGTAGTAACTACTAAGGGTATAACGATTTCAGTATAGTAGTGGAAAAAAAAACATCCAAAATAGTGAAGTGAAATTCAAAACTGTATCTTTTTTGTCTTTGACAGAACATGAAAACACTGTTAATGATCAAAATTAGGCATCTGTTTAAATTACTAGACTTTTTTCTTTCCTAAAGTAGTTGATTTATTAAAGGGCTGGTGCAGCAGGTATTGAAAAAGTTCTGTTTGAGACTTTTGATCTGACAGCTATGATATAATGTATGTAGTTATAAGCACAAAGAATTGCAGAGTGGGACCACACATGGGCGCTGTCTGTTGTGAGCACTTGAGGACCCGTTTTGCTCATTTCCTCACCTATCAGTTGTATGTAAGGCCATACTCTGGAGCTCTTTCTCCTCACTGGCACGTGTCTGCAGGCCCTTCACCTGCTCTGTGAGCTTCTTTACAGCCTGCTCTGCCTTCCAGCGCCGTTCCCGCTCCTGGTCCCGCTCCTCCACTATCGCCTACAAACACACCACACACATCTTCTCTCGTCACAAGCGTGACCACTTCAGTGCCTCTGAAGAACGTTCTGAACTGCCAAAGACCGTTTGCGCACCCTGTAGGTTTCCTCCTCTGTTTGATGGTGGCTTTTGTCAGGAGTGGTCCGGCCTACTCTGAGGCCCCTCTTCACTGAGGCCGCTGTGTCTGTGTACCCCAGGTTCTGGACAGCTGCCCTCCGCCTGGAGCCAGCGGCAAGCTTTGAGCTCTGCCGCTTTTGTGTGCCTGCTTCACTAGAAAGAAAACGAACACCATTCCAAACAAGCTTAATTAATGAAGCAGAATAATAAAATTAACAAAGACCAAACAAGGTCTAGTAAGACTAAACGAAAAGTGTTTGTGGACTTCTTTGCGAATAAAGTATCAACTAAAATGGTCCAAGACCATTTTATAGAGATTCTAAACCACAAATGTAAACTTAGCCATACTAAAGTTTGACCAGTTCCAGTTGTACAATAAAACCATTTTTGAGGCATTCTATTTTTCATGGTGTTGCTGAAGAATAAATCTCAATGTTTACAGCTTGCCAAAACAATAAATCATCATTAAAATGCAGAAGCAGAGTAAGTGTCACTATGTTTGCTCCACTGAAGCTAAATGAACCAGAGCTGAACTTGTGACAGGGTAATCATTTATGTCTGAGAGCAATCTCAAATAGGGAGGAGCAAAGACAACTACTGGACTAGATTAATTACAGGACCAGATCAAAGCCTTTGTCTCTATGCTTTTGCTCTCTTATGACTTTGAACCATACAAAGTTGCTAGAAAAAGAAATACTGAGAGACTTCAGTAACTAACGCTTCATAGTGCTAGTATACTGTAAAGGATTGCACCTGTCTGGTCGTTTGCCTTTGGTGTCTTTCACCAGCTTCTTCCCGGAGGTGCCTCTGGGGCAAGGAATTCTTGAGCATCGCTGGTTCTCTTTCCCACTGTCACACTCGCTCTCTGATGTTTGATCAGTGTCCCTTTTAGCTTTCCGTACCACAGACTGCGAAGCTGCGCTTGCATCAGGACCATCGCCTGCTGGACTCTGGGATGAGGAAAAAAGAAAAAGCAGAAGGTTCTGAAGTTGCCAGGACCTCAATTTTATGAATCGTGGGCTGTTACCTTTTTGTAATGGTAAAATTCACAGTGCTGTGAATTTGCTTTCAGCCCTTTAAGGTCAGGGCAAAAAAAACTCTATTTCTACAATTTAACCTCTTAAAATCCCAGGCTTATACATACTAAGGCTTATTATTCAGTATCAACAGGGACTGCAGACTGGCTGAGCTATTCTTAAGTTATAGAAGTGTGTAATAAAAATCTGAGCTCACAAGTGGGCCCTGGCTATTTAAGGGGTTAATCTGCTTTTCTTTGTTAGTAGTATGATTTCTCAATGTTCTGTTACATTTAGGGATGCACTAAAATTGCAGCCACTAAAATATTCAACCCAAAATGGTCAGAAGTGGGGAAAGAGAAAAAATGCTGAATATTCTGACCAAAAAATAATAATAAATCAAAGAATACAGCCACAAGCAGCAATCTGCACAGTTCAAGCACCAAAGAGCTAAATGAAGTCTAATACGTCAGGCTGGGGCCCTTTTGCAAGTCAGAGGATAAATGACAGGGAGTCAGACTTTCACAAAAATCCTTCATATGTTATGATTTAGATGAAGTTTAGTACAGACTGACCTTTTGACATTGGTATATTAAGTTGAAGACTTCGAACAAATAAGTCAATATGCCAAACAAGCATTCCAATTTCTGACATAACTTGTAATTGAAAAGTTAGCTTTTCAATTACATTTCAGTCAGCTAAAGAACCTGAATCACATTAGACTTGCTACTGTAGAAAGAAGAAAAGAACAGCAATTAAAAATGTAATTATTTTAAGTCTTATTGTGTGCTGTAGCTCCCCCTGAAGGCCAATCTGGGTCAAATTTTGCATGCCTCATCTGAATCTTAGTTCATATAAATGGTTTAAATTTTGAGAGAATGAGGCTAACAATTTTTGAGTTTTAGTGATGGAATTCAGAATTGCCAAGGCCACAGTGATTAATTAATATGTGGTAACTATGGATAGACAAAAAGTCAACCTTTTTTATATAATTATTTACTTACAGATGCCAGCGATTATTTCATGACCAATTTTGAAATCCCTGGATCAAAATCCTATGACTACCTGGAAAATAGTCTTTTTTTAAACAATTTACAGTAAAAGAAATACAATATATTTTATGAAAACACTCATAATTGCAAAGTTATTAGGCTACTAAATTGCATTATTTGAAGTTCCATGTCCTCGAGTGAAATATGTAGAGGTACAGTTGATTATATTATTGGAAAATTGAGTGCACAGGTGACACCCACATCTGTAATCCATGTGTGTCATGCAAGATGGCGAAAAAAGGATAGATCTAAGTTAGCCGCTGCAGAAACACTGCCAACTGGATGATGGTTGTAATATGTGCATACGCAGTGCATGGAAAAATGGGCATGAATTCCAATTAGACCATTTTCTTTACAGTCATATGGCAACATATTAGTTTGCATCCTGTCTAGGAGCACAAATGAAAGTGGCTCAAATCTGATTTTTAAAAAAAATTGAGGTCTTGTGTTCACATAGCTTTGAGACCATCATGTCCCAGTTTCCTAAAAGCATCTTGGTGTTAAGATCATCTTAATTGCCATTTAAAAAAAAACAAAAACACCAAACTGTGCTGAACTTAGACCCTCCAGAAGCACAGCTGGACACATCTGGACTACAGGCCTCTGCTGTACCTTGTGGAAGAGCTGGGACACCTGCTGTTCCAGTTTCTTAATGCGAAGCTCATTTGTCTGGTTATCTGATGTTGAGTTTCCTTTTTGTGGGATGAGCTGAGGGCTGTCCTGCAGTGCCAGTTCATTGGCCTTCCCTAGAGCCCTGGCACGGTGTCGAAACTGCGTAAGAACCTCATCAATCCGGGGAGTGGGCAGAGGAGCATCCGGCTGGACCTATTTAACAAAGAAACCTAATGAGCCTTGATATTATCAACCCTGTGAGTGAAGACTCAAATACAAAAACAGTAAAGTACATGAGGGCTCATTTTTGACTATTTTACCAAATTCTATTTTGAATGTTCAAGTATTCTATAAAGACAAGTAAAGCTCAAGACATGTTTCCTTTTAATGACTGAATGAAAAATTAGCTAACTTGCACCTTCAGCATACTAGCAGTAAGTGACTACTGGAGCATTAGTGAACTAATTTGGATTGCATTTGACATTGTGATTAATACTGTCGTTTCAATTATGAGTTTTAAAACCGTTAAAATGTAACAATGTATACTTAATTCATTTGTAGTGTCAAAAAGTACTAATTATTCAAATTATTTTATATTCAGATAAAAATGGGTCTTCAAGGGCTCTTTGGTAAAGACATTGGTATAAACAGAACTATGACATTTTAAAAAAACACCTGAATGCATGAACAGTTCTTTGCATTCTTCTCTACTATGGAAAACATGTTGTATATATTTTCTTTTAAATATCCTTTTTAAAAAATGGTCATATATAGCATGAAAAGAGATTCTGCTACTGTTAAAAGTCATAGAACCCTTTTTGCTGAGACTGTAGTTTGTTTAATTTTATCAAATACTTGTTGCAGTCCTAAAGAGCACACACTACTGTTTTACTTTTAAAAACAGATGAAATATGCACCAGCTCTGCGCTGACACTACTGTCTGTTGGAATCAGAAACTCCAGAAAATCCTCAAGGCCAGGCACATCCAAAGGGCTTTCATCTCCTGAAGGAGGACGGTTCCCCAGCCGGTCTTCTCCATCCAAGATAGAGACTTGCTGCAGGGTCTGCAGGACCATCTCCCTGTAGCCTACACAAGAGAGAACATTTAGTGCATGGGGTAAATGGACCTTGTCTAGCAGAAAACATAAATAACAACCATGCAAAACAATGGGTGACTGAACTTGTGATACATAACCCAAGACTAGTCCTTCAATGACCTGGGTGACTGAAAACCTTTATAGATACGCAAGTCACACTACTAGTCAAATATACACAACCAGTTTGTTATTATCATATATGCTTTAAAGTGCATGTACATTCATTATATAATGTTTGTCTTTCATTTAAGCAGATAATGGTTTAGGTTCAAAATACTTATTTTACAGAAACTTATTTGAAGCTGTAATTAAATAAAAGGTGGCTATTCAGAGGAATGAAGACTAGGAAAACAAAAATATTGTAATTTTTTTTTTCTAAATACATAGATACACGCCACTCAAGATCCTCAATAGCTACATAAGTTTTCTCCCATGTGTCAATGGTCTATTCTTAATTCTTAACTGCTGAAGAGGCAGCTAGAAAAAGCACTTACTTAGCAGTTCAGAGAAGCAACTAGAATTGTAAAATGTGAACTCCACAGAAATCCCAGTCAAATAATACTTCCACTTTGTATAGCACTCAAAAGTATGTTTAAAGTAATAATTTACTAAAATGCGATGAACTTGGTGGGCTACTATCCACGCTAACGGTGTGTGGGGACCACTCTTCTTTGACACAGCAGTAAAAACATGCAAACTGGATTTCGTCAAAATGTACAACTGTTCAATTAGGGGAAAAATGCTGATATTTTGATGTGAAATGGTCCACTGTAGAGAAACTTACAGAGTCTGAACTGTTCATAGTGGTGGTGATAGGAATCAGACATCTGAGAAGTTTAAAGCCTTTAAATGCTATGTCACAAAAATTATTATATGAAGTGGTTATGAATATGCTGCCTGATGCTTAAAACAAATGTTTCATAAATGTACTTTTACAATACATTCACAGAGCAGAGGTACATGCAGAATAGTTTCCAAAGAATGTAAAATAGTCTCCAAAGACACAAATTATTTCTGATTTATCACTGCTTCTTAATTATCAACAATACCTATAAAAACTCAGAAAATGTGTAGGTTCACTGCTTTGTATAGTAAATACAATGGCTATATTTGTAGTGTAAACATTGTGATCCCTGGTTCCTATCACCACTACGGTAAAAAAAAATAATAATAAATAAATGAGTGTAACTTTTTCTATAATGGACCATGTCACATCAAACCATTCTGAATGACTTTGTTTAAATCTCAACTACTGAATTATGCAAAAGCATTGAAAATGTAATCATAAATCTGTGGAACTAAGGCTCTTGACGGTGCTATGTGATCAGTGGAGTAAGAGTACGTAGTGGCAAATCTTCATGGCAAAACATGTGTATGGCTTCAACCACCTAAAAGAATCTGTGGACTAGCAGAGGGACCTACTATGAGAAACTAAGAATTAGAAAAAATAACTTTAAAATACTGCAAACCTGGACGACTGCAGACTGGATTATCCGCACCATCCATACTGAGAGTAACATCTCTCAGATTGCGCAGTCCCACCATGCACTGCAGTAGATGGTTCATGCTATCCAAACAGTTGCTGTGAAGCTGAAGGTGTTTCAATTTGTATTCAGCTCCATGCAGATGTAAAAGACCTGTGCACATTCAGTAGTGTTAGGATATACCAATATATGAACATGCTACATATACATACATACATAGATACATACATATACAAAAAACACACACACACACACACACACACACACATACATATATGTATATATATATATATGTATACATACACACACACACATACACTTCTTCTAAGTGTTAACTTACCAGTGAGGTCACTGATTTGATTGTAAGCCAAGTTCAGCCTTGTGAGGTTTACAAGTCCATTGAGACCTAAACAAAAGCAATCTAGTTTATCTGTGCATTATTTTTGCAGAGCTCTGCCACAGAAGCAGATGTAGGAATATTACCAATTTACCTTCCACTTTGGTGATGCTGTTGCACGACAAGTTTAAGGTGCGTAATGAAGAGAGAGAGCCGAGGCCCTCGATACGAGAGATATGGTTGGATGAGAGATCCAGATGTCTTATGTGCCATGTTGTTGTCAGACCTTCAATCTTTGACAGTCGATTACAGTGGAGATTTAGAGATGTGATATTGGACTTCAGTGGAACCTCTAATAAACTACGAAAAGAGATATTTATTTACAGTGAAACATAAACATGTGCATAAAGTAACATCTGAAAATAAAAGATTTTTGAAAACATAGCTGTACAACAGGGGTGATCAGCTTCCAATGATGGGAGAAAAAAATATTAAGAATATAATATTGCAATTTTATTAATAAGTATTTATTGATAATAATACCATCTATGACCAAAACTTGCAAGTTACAGTACTCCTACTGTGCTAAGCACTTTTAGAGTCCAGTAACTAACTGCTTTAGTTGACTTAGTAACTACTGAGGTCTGTTTGAGCAGGAAAATCACAAAATTGTGATAACACTGGAATTGGACCCACAGCAATCCAAACAGACACAGCATTTTTAGACAGTTTCAGCAGACTCAGGTTAAGACACATGAAGCCTACCTTGAAATGTCTTTATCTATTAAGCAAAGCTCTCCAACGGCCATGACATGTGTTACCTGTTTGAATAAAGACAGTGAAAACAGACAATCTAAGGCTATAAAGTACACAAATTATTCTTCTTTTGGCTTAATGTTACAAGTTAAATGAACTCAAAATTTCAGGTTAACCCAGTTACTTAAGTTTTTAAGTTGAAAGCTGCACATTTTTTATATGTAAATACCTATTTTACATATAAAAATATGTCTATACTTAATATACACTTAAGACTGGTCTTAAAAACAGAAATAGCATGTTACTGGATAATTAATAAGCTACTGTGAGTGCTGAGATGTACACTATATATTTCAAGCCTAAAAAGGGGTTTTCTGTAATACCACTCCGTCTGAAACCAGCAGAAAGGGAAACCGACCTGTTCAGAGAGACGCGTCGCCAAGGCGAAGACAGCAGCGCTTAGTAACTACGTTAGTTAGCTACGTTAGCCGAGCCAGAGCTATCATGTCTCCGTCTGCTAGGCGGCTACTTGCTTCAGAACAGGAGACATGAGCTACTTTTGGACTTTGTTGGACAGTGTCTGTAAAAAGCGCCATACTAAGAAAGTTCTAATGAACTGAAAACAGAATTAAAGCCAGTTATCACGAACGGTTTGACGTTGTAAGTTAACGTAACACAGCTAGCTAACGTTACGTTGTTAATTGATGACAAAGCTTAACCTACTTTTTGTCACTAGCTAACCTATGTAGCTCTTAGAAAACCTACAGATGAGGTTAGATATTACTGGAAATTTATTGCTGTCTAAAGTTGGCTTGTTTAATTCTAGTTCACGTTACATAAAACTGCAAGGACTGTTTCGCATAGGTTTCCTGGGCAGAGGTGAATTAGCCAAAGAGCTAACGTTAGCTTTCAATGTGCGTCCGAGTTTGTCCCTGTAAATACACTGATTAAAGACAGATTTCAGCTTTAACGTTATCCAAAACCTCACTTTGGTGAATCACTGTAAAACTTTAGCTACGTTTGCTATGAATCACCACAGGTTAAGCCTGTGAGGAGATATCTCAGAAAAGGTATGCTAGCTCAGTTAACGCTAGCTAACCTAGCTGTCAGTCTGGCTTAGCTACTAACTCGTGAACTAACCACACGTCTTATTAAAAATAACAAATAAACATCACGTATAATAAACGCTGCTATGGAAAATAACTGAAAACCTATTATATTTATTATGTGAATATGATAAACTGAACCTACCCTGCTGTGGTAAACGAAGTTGTTCACCGAGAGTCCAGGGAGACACCTAGCTAGCTATTACCATAACATTACTTCTTCTTAATCTGCAGCTCGACAATCAAAGAGCCCGCGTTAAGGGGCGGGACCCCGTGTGAAAACCTCCAAAAGGCAGAACCAACATTTACCGACCACGTAGCTCCTCGTTAGTATAGTGGTAAGTATCCCCGCCTGTCACGCGGGAGACCGGGGTTCGATTCCCCGACGGGGAGAGCAACGTTTTTCGTAACAGCCTCCCACTGGATCGTTTTTTCAGAACACCTTTATCCTTAATTCACTCCTCTCATCACGCCCTTAACTCTAATTCACTACTCTTGTAGAGTGGTCCTTTTATATCACCAGCTACATGAACTAACAAGGTAAAAAAGCTCAGTTTCAATATCAGGCTGTCATTAAGTACAGTTTCTCCTTATATTTTCTACCCCTGCATAATAGCACTGAATGGTACGAATGTTTGTGGTAGCAAATAAAATATGCATACTTACAAGATGATAGTTCAGTTACAAAATGTAATCACAATTACCCTCTGACAGCATTCAGTCTTACGTGTGTACAAAATATCACCTTTACCCCATTTCACTTTTCTCATAACACCCTACACCCATTCCTTTGTCTCATGACACTCCAGCGTTACCCCAATTCACGTTTCTCGTGACACCTTTACTCCTAATTCACTTTTCTCATAACAGCCTACCACTCGTTCATTTTTCTCAGAACATCTTTACCCCAGTTCACTTTTCTCATAACTACCCCTAATTCATTTTTTCGCGTAACACCCTACACCAATGCCCTTTTCTCATAACACTCTACCGCCAAATTCTACCAGTACACGTTTCACTTGATTTACCTTTAAATGGTAGCGCCAGCAACCAATCATCACGCAACTCCTCGTTAGTATAGTGGTGAGTATCCCCGCCTGTCACGCGGGAGACCGGGGTTCGATTCCCCGACGGGGAGAGCAACGTTTTACATAACAGCCTCCCACTGGTTTAATACTCTCAGAACACCTTTCCCACCTTAATCACCTCTCTCATAACAGTAGCTCACTTTTCCCGTACACACGCTACCCCAATTCACTTTGCTCATAACGTCCAAACCCTAATTCACTTTTTTCTCATAACACCCTTCCCCTCGTTCTCCAAAAGAAACAGCTTTACACCAGGATGACCAGTATCAGCATCAAGGAAACATCTGTTTCTTTTTTTAAATCGTGGTCGATAAGTAAGCTAATGTTACAAATCACACACTACGCTGCTTCCACATCATCTGTAAGAACTTTTATTTAATAAATGTTTCTTGGTTAAACATATACTGAAAAGCATTCACACAGTTTGGGCTTGTGTAATGGCATAATAAATAGCAATAAAGTAACCTGGCATACAATAAACATTCTTCAAAAAGGTCTAATAATGAAACTTCCTCCTCTGCTCCAGTGTTTTATTCCCTGTTATAAGAAAATGAAATCCATTCAGAGTGTCTATTCTGACAAACAGCAAGCAAATCCAAAAATACAGCAGTTAAACCAATTAACATGTAAACAGACATAATAGCAGGGGTGGAAAATACTTAGGTGATTGTACTCCATTAATTCTTAAGAAGTATTTTTGAAAGCTTTGTACTCTACTCAAGTATTCCTGAAACTGAACACTTGCATTACATTTCCAAAAAAAAACATACTTTTTACTTCTTACATTTTCATGTTTGACCTTCAAGATACATTTTTTTTCTATTTTTTTACATTTCTCTAGACAATCAGTCAAGTTCTTGTGTATTTGATTTAGTTTTTATCAAAGCACCCAATCAAATCCAATTCAAATCACTGTAAAGTTAAAAATGAAACTGACCACAACTATACAAATTCATATTTTGTTTAGGGACCGTCCATAAAGTAGTAGCGCATTCACAGATTGGATTGGGCATGTTATTGTAATGTTAGTGACATACGCATTAGTACTAGTTCAGGCATGACTTAGGGATTTATGGTGCAACCAAATTTAGTAAAAGGATAGCACGAGGCTAATTAGTGTGGTCAAAACAGCGCCCCCCCCCCACCACCAAAAAAAAAACTCCTCCCCAAAACAGTTGTAGTTTTTCAACATTTTCTCCCCTTCAAAACGCATCAGAAGGGGGTTCACCTAGTCTTTAAACTGGAAAATCTCATTTTGGCACCACTGTAGGATGAAACTAAGCTTTTTCAAAAACAGACGTAATAATGGTTACATTTTTCATTTTGGTCAGAATGGTCCTTTTATATCACCAGGTACCTGAACTAACAAGGTAAAAAAGCTCAGTTTCAATATCAGGCTGTCATTACGTACAATTTCTCTGTATATTTTCTACCCCTGCATAATAGCACTGAATGGTACAAATGTTTGTGGTAGCAAATAAAGTACATATACTTACAAGATGATAGGCTAGTTACAAAATGTATTCACAATTACCCTCTGACAGCATTCAGTCTTAGGTGTGTACAAAATACCAGTAAAGCACATTGTCGCAAATACATGCCATATCAGAGATCATCATGTAGAGCTGCAGTTTCTCTTGAGCTTGTGTATTACGCCATCTGTACGTCCTCTAGGGCCAGTAAGAACGATCCTTCTGAGAAATGGTGACTGTCACAGGTCCTTTCAAATGTCCGTATTAATTTCACCTCTTAAGAAAAGACACAAAACAGAAAACTACTGTAGTATCATCTAGGCCTTAAACAGGAGTAATTAGCTTGACCTCAAAGATGGAAGTTCATCCTGTGTTACATGACAGGGTATTTTTGTAATTGCAACTTTAATAGTCCTAGATATTTTCTTCCTAAATAGCATATTTTGTGACAACTGAAACACATAAAAGTAGTTGCCGCATACTGGAGGTTCATATGGTGCTCTATCAGTGAAGGACAAGGCAGAGCACATCCCCCAAAACGCCTCAAATTGCATTCAGAGCGAAATCGTTGCGAATGACGGGCCATTGGGAAATGATGGGTGAAGTCAATTACGCTGCACAATGATAGTCTCTCCCATTATTCTCCTCTCCCTCTCCTCTTCCATCGGTGCATTAAACAAACATGTTGATTTTGAAGGACATGCCCTGAACGATGCCCTTCCCAGAAGAACTTTATACAGACTAACAAATAAATGGAGCATACGAACCGTATTCAGTTGTCCACATCAGATAAGTGGTTTTCCATCTGTGGTTAAAAGAATGTAGCAATAAATGTAAGTTACAGCCATGCAGCACAATTTCAGCCCTCAATGGATTTCAGTTATGCTACCGGTAAGAGATGCTTTCGCTCTCAGATGGGATGAGTGGTGCCTCACCAGTTTGTCATTGCCTTCATCATCATAGTCATCCTCATCTCTATCTGTCATTTCACCACACTCTCCTTCCAAATGCTCCCCGTCTGCTTCCTCTGCGGAACGATGCGCTGTTTCATTATGCAGAGATGGATAGACATCATCACACTTTCTATGGGGAACTAAAAAGAGAGAGAGAGAATGATGAAGGTACGGAGAAGCGGACAGAGCAGGAGGACGTTTTTATTCCATTACAGGCTAGCACTGTGTTGAAAATGGTCTCCTATTCACTATTCCCTATTGGAAAATCAGGAACACTATATAGAGCACTATTACAGGAAAAATAATTTGTGATTCAAGTTAACAGATTCATTTAGATTTCACACACAAGTGATTCAAGTAAAGCACTCAATAGTACTCAACAGTAGTCACAGTCCATTGTGTAAACATACTGTATTATAATATTCTATGTCCCAGGGTTCAATTTGTAAAAGATAAAGTCCTGGAACACTGAGTATCTGGCAGGTTGATGTGGCTGGCGGACATCCTGGAACAACAACAAAAAGGTACATCAACACACAGCTTAGTGTGAGGTTTCTACATAACTTTGGATCTTACGAGTGCGTTAACAAAACTCTAAAGCATTGAACTTTCACCCAAATATGGGTTTTTATACTGAACAGCTTCTAATACATGAGTAGTTAAGAAATCCATACCTAAGTCAGCGCTTTTGTTCAGTGCTTCAAGTTCTTTTGAGGAATGGGCAGTCACAGCAATAGTGGGTGCATTTGCGAGTGATAAACAGCATCTATATTGTTTTTATTACTATTCCTGCTGCGCGTGCGCCCAAATAGCAAGTTTCTGTGTTACTTTTTGGTGAACTTTTCCACAGTTTGGTATGTTGTATAATACTGTGCAAAGGTCAGACACCACCCTTCATTCATTTAATTTAGTCAAAACAACAATGAAGTATATGTTATTAATTTTTTCAGGAGGAGATAAGATATAAGAAAATCCACTTGCATAAAGAAGGAAATAATCAAAGCAAAATAAGTGAAAAATACAAGAGTTTCCAAAACTGGAAATTAAAAATATAGAGATCGCCAAACTGATACCATCAGATAAACAGCACTTAAAGTTTTCATCTTTGAGAGAGAGGAGAAAATCAAGCTCCATTCTTGCTTCGGATCTGAAAAAATCCTTCCACTGTGAGAAGACAACTTAACACTGAGACTGAAAGGATGTTTAGCTGTGAAGAAGCCCTTAATGGGAAAGAAAATTCAAACAAAGAAGTTGCTGGTGCTCTCAGAACAATGAATTCAAAATCCACTGAAATAGGTGCCAGAACCAAATCTGGCTCGTTTTGATGCAAACATTAAACCCTGCCATGTCACCAGGGTGCGCTGGATATTCTCCACTATAGCTCGGTAAGAAACTATGCCCTATTCACTATACAGTACACTATTTTGGGAGCAATGTCTTGTAACAGTTTCCAAAAACAAAGCACAGAATATCCAGTGCGCTCTTGTCATCCCCCAATGCACTGCAATAAGAAGTGTACAAACAATGTACGCTAGCCAACGCTGAATACCCATAATGCACTGTGCTGTATATGATGGAATGTGATTACCACTGAGTACTAAGCAAACCTATATAACATCAAAGTCATAAAAGTAGACTCCAAAGGTACTGCATAGTGAATATGTTTTGGACATAGGCTAGGTGTAAGGAGCACACTGAGGACTCATAAAGACAGCATTGTTGTACATTTCAGAATGATGCTATGCCTGTCAGTGAAAACAGTGGAAGCGGGTGGCTCTCACGTATTCACCACACAGCTCGGCAGCTGACCCTCACCTGTCTCTGCTAAATGCTGCCTTTCTATCTTCTCCAGCCAGCCAAGCAAAGAATCTATCTTGGCCTTGATCTGCAACAGCTCTCGCTTGATGGTCAGCAGCTGGTCCGATTTTACTAAAGAAGAAAAAGGGTCTAATCAACTGTGCCACTTTCAGAGTCACTGTGCAATTGCTAGAGATGCTCCGATATATTATTTCTGGACCAATAATGATTTTCAATCAAGTCTTGTTGTGGCTGATACTGTTCCCAATAATTAATGACTTTACATCTTTGCAGTTTGCAAACAAGTTGACATCGCAAGTCACATATGCTAATGCTCACTGCCTTCTATTCTTCAGCCCAGGGGTCATCGATTCCAGTCCTGGAGGTCCCTAATTCAGCAGAGGTTGGTGATTTTCCTCCTCAAAATACCTGATTTAATTTATCAGTTAATTATCTGGTTTAGTAGGTGTGTTTAAACAGCAAATTAATTAAACTGTGCTGGACCCCAGCCAGGGCAGCACAGTGGCGCAGTGGGTAGCGCTGTCGCCTCACAGCAAGAATGGCCTGGGTTCGATTCCCGGCCGGGCGACCGGGGTCATTTCTGCGTGGAGTTTGCATGTTCTCCCCGTGTCTGCGTGGGTTTCCTCCCACAGTCCAAAGACGTGCAGTCAGGCTGATTGGACACGCTAAATTGCCCATAGGTGTGAGTGTGTGTGAATGTCTATGTCTGTCTGTCTGCCCTGCGATGGACTGGCGACCTGTCCAGGGTGTATCCTGCCTTCCGCCCAATGACAGCTGGGATAGGCTCCAGCACCCCACCGCGACCCAGAAGGATAAGCGGTTTAGATGATGGATGGATGGACACCAGCCTGCCAGGGTCAGGACTGATGACCCCTGCTTTAGGCTATAACACTGGAATTAGTTTTCAAATGACTAATCAGTAGTTTTGAAAGTCTAGCATTTTGCTTAACGTTTGCTGCAAACTGTAATTCTGTTGTCCTCTGCTGAAAGGTTTGAATGACAAACCTTGACACAACTGACATTTTCAATCTGTACTATACATCGGTCAGTGCCACTGTACAAAAACGGGGTTATCAGCTGTAACTATTGCTTGTAATTCTAATGTAGAAAATACCAATAATTACATGATCTGATTTGTCAGTAAATAATATGTGCACCACTAGCAATTACACAGTGTATGAGCGTCTTGACAAAGATGATATCTGATAACGAATAAATATGCTGCACAAACCCTTGGTGCCAGAGCAGGAGCTAGAGGTGAGTGCTCTTGTGGGGGAAAAGCAGGAAGACCCCTTAGGAGGTTGAGAAGGCTTCGCCCTGCGTGTCGAGGGCATGAGTAGACGGGAACGCTTCACAGGCACCACGGCCCGAGGGGGTACTGTCACTCGACCGTGGAAGTCCAGCAGCCTAGAGAGACACTTCATCCATTAGACTCTGCTCTAGACCCTGCTCTAGGAGGCTGTCTGGTTTGCATCATGCACACACTTGCCTCAAACCACATTACATTCTTTTGAACAGACTTGTTTACGTGTTTCTAACTCTGTACTACAGTATTACATACAAAAATATAAAAGTAGATCATAGATAAACACAGTAGTCACAGACATTTGAAGCACTTTCACCCTTTTATGGAACACAGAATGTCATACACTGTTTTAGAATGTCTATTTGAGATTACATAAAGGGGCAGTCCTGCCTAAAACTAGCCTTTCACATGTTGTCTTGAATATTATGTAATATTCTTTGTATCCCCCCACCCCCAAATAGAGAAATACACTGATGCGGAGGCTAACAAATATAGACATGATATTCGGCTTCCTAGCAGTAACATTGACTATCTGGATTCTTTCTTCATTAGCTAGCTGGGGAAAAAAAAACATTTCAAACAGCCCAACCTCATGTGTCTACACTAAAATGCTTGCACTTTTTCCTTTTACCTTCAAAACACATAATCAGAAGGGAGTTTTTGTAGTCTTATAACCAGCAAATCTCTCCATAGCAACTACTGTAGCACCACTGTAGGATGCCAGAAGCCATGGTTACAACAGATGAAGTGATGGTTAATTTTTTCAGTTTGCCCAGAGAGCCCATTAAAGTGCCCAGGTCGACATGATTTTAGGCATGCAGTTTGCACAGTGCAAACTGTTAAGAGTTCAAGCTTCCATCACTTGTTTGCTACAATAGTAACACAGCTCCAGTGCAAAACTAAACAAACTAAAGCAAACTTCACACACCAAACGTGTCAAAAGATCTAATTTTAATTTGGGATAGGGGAAAAATTCTGTAAATTTGATTTTGTTTCTTTTTAAAAGCAACTACAGACTTGAATGTTATTGGTAAGTTTACTGATTTTGCTACAGAGAGCGCAATGAACTGAACTTCATAAACAAGCTTTGTAATAAGACTCCAAGGCCCTTTAATGCCACTGTGCCTTCCTTCTGCTAATGAGGCAACAGCGATAAAGTCAGCGCATTGCTAAGACGAGCAGGTTGCATGACGTCATGTGGCCTAATCATCTCGCCGTCCTTTTCCCCCTGAAGACAGAACTTCAGAAAGTGACGCGCATAATTATCTTCCCTTCTCTTCCATAATTATTGCGTAACGGCACCCGGCGGGGTTGCGTTTGTCGCCACAGACAGATTTATTTTCCGGCGAGATGCATAAAAAACTCGGCCCCCGCTCGAAGAAGAGAAGAAAACAAACACATGAAAATGTCAGAGACGGGATGGACGCCCCATACCGACCCCCAGAGCCATCTGACATTCAGCCACCACCTCCCCAGAGGCCTGTATAGCTGGCATTAGCACAATGTACAACCAAATAAAAGGGACATTCATAATGGTTATCACAACCCATTCATATTCATTTAGATGGGTTTTAATAGGCGTACCCTTTCTTTCCTTTTTCATAATGCTGAAAAGGACAAGAGGGAAGGATGAAGTAACGCTAAAGCACCAAACAGGTGACATTTTAAAAATCATGTCACTCAGTGATCATATAAAAATTAGCACAGTGTCACAGAATGACATCATTAAATTGATCATGTCGTATCTTCCCATTCACTGAAAATTTAATTGATTGATTCACTTATGAAGATCATTTCCACATGAATAAAATACAACAGAATTTCTGCCAAAAATAAACTAAAAAAATTAATGTAATACAGCAGCAAGAAAAAAGTATGTGAACCTTTTGGAATTACCTACTTATGATTTAGATGAAGAACAGATCACATTTTATGACCAATTATCGCAGAAAATGTGATCTGTTTTTCATCTGAGTCATAAATATAGACAAACACACTGTGCCAAAGCTAATGACACACAAGCATTTACGATCTTTCATGTCTTTAATGTGTACACCTATTAAACATTAAGCATTCAGTGCTGGTGAAAAAAGTAAGTGAACGCTTTCATTTAATAACTGAACTTCCTCTGGGAGGAATAACCTCAAGCAAACAGCTTCTGATAGCTGTGGATCAGACCTGCATGTTCAAAAGTAAAACCAGACCATTCTTTCTTACAGAACTTCTTTAGCTCAGCCAGCCATATTCTTCGCGCCTACGACCAAATTACAGCCGTGATGTTATTTCGCAATAACACAGTCCCTCTCGTGTTCTATTGCTTAAATATATACATGATTTTCATGTCTTTTGTTATTAACTGTGTACCTCCTGTTATATATTTAGTGCTTTTCTCAAGCTCAAGGATATATATATATATATATATATATTACATATATATATATATATAAAAGAGATGATGGTGATGTATAGCACATAAGCTTTAATTTATGACACATATAGACTCACCTGCCATAGAAATCATCCCTGTAGAAGTCATAGTCAAACCCATAGCCGCTGTGACAAAAAAAGGCAAAAGTGAAACTTTTATTCTACATTTTTTTCAGCTAACAGATGCCTGCACTGGCTAGCATCACACTGAGTGATGGGGAGAGGGAGGGCCATCCTACTCACCCAGAGAGAGCAAGGCCAATTGTGCTCTCTTGGACTCCCAGCGACGGATGGCTGTAGCATCACCAGGGATTGAACTTGTGGTGCCCTGATGAAGGCCAATGCTTAGATGGTTGCGCCATGTGGGAACCCTGTTCGAGTTTTTTTTTAAAACTTAATTTTACTCCTTTCTTTTTGTGGTTTTATGTACCCAAAAGGATCTCAATGCAATTTTACATAATCTTTTCCCACCTCTTTTTATCCCTTTGGATTGCACTTAGCATTATGACCAATATTGTCACTTAGAATTTGAGCTTTAAAACCTTTAGAAATTAACAATGCATATTTCATTCATTTGTGGGGTTACATAAGTGGTGAAAATATTGATTAATCAAATGATTTTATATTCAAATATGCTTTCAAATACACCAAAAATGATTCTACAAAGGTTCTTCAGTAAAGCAATGGGTATACATAGAACCGTGACCACATTAATGCATAAACGGCTCTTTGCGTGGTTACATGGTTATTCTTTATGATTTATTTTTTTATGCTTTGGCAATTTCTATGAAGTGTCTTGGAATGTTGATCTATAATCAAATCTCATTTTTTCATAAACCATCTACTTTATTAGAAAGGCCTTGTACTTCCATACAACTGACTACTTTATGATGTCCACCTACCTTATAGGGCCCCTGTATAAGTGTAGATCATCTGTTAATGCGCTCCCAACCACTGGCACCGGGCTGTGGATTATTTTAAGGCTTAAATCTTGCCATTAAAATGTTTATTAATTTATTTTGTTTCATTTTAAAGATTGCGAATGGCTATGAAGCAGTCAATTGAAGACAAAACTAGACATGCAACAATAAAACTTGTATTGTATTGTTGTATCATAACTAGCAAATTAGCTTGTGGCTAGTGCATTAGATCTCTATAAAGTATAGATTTTGTTTCAAATATTGTACTTTTATAATGTTTAATGCTCTAACAACCTGAAAATAGAAACATTAACATGTTAATGTAAGGCACATTTTCAGCTACTCCATATTTTTGCCATATCAAAAAATGTATTAATTCAAGACAGCATCATTTTGTGTCCAATCTAATTCTTCATTTTTAATTACTATACCCCTAAACAAAACATTTCTCCCTCTTGCTTGAGGTTTTACACACATCATTGTATATGATAGGTTGACACACCCAAAATATCCAGCAAAGAGGATCTCTGTGGTTAGAAACTGACCACTAATTAAGAGCTAGAACTAATTTTTGCCCTTAGTCTTATCAAGCTCACCTGATTCAGTTCATTAATTAATTACCAAATGCCTCTTTGGTAGAGTAGGGAAACCACAAAAATGTGCAAAGCATAGGATGGGGACTGGGAACCCCTGAGCTAGAGAATGCTTAACATAAATTGTGCATCAATAGACAAGCTGCAATCTCTAAGGCTACGTTCACATTACCATCCTTAAATCTGACTTTCTGCCTTAATACGACACAGATCTGATTTTTTCAGAGCTATGTGGATGTATAAATCTGATTTCTTTCAAATCAGACCTGAGCTACTTTGGCTACATTCATATTACAAGCCTCACTGCTCAATTTCAATTTTTTCCTCTGATCTGAGCTCTCAGCCAGTCACTAACTGGAGGTAATGCCAGTAAATGGCACAAAACTAATGCGTCTGACCTTCTTTCACCTTCATCTTGCTCTAATAATTAACAGCTGAGAGCTGTTCAGAATAAATTATCTTTGCGACAAAGACTTGCTCTACTAGTTTGTTGTTCATGACGCATGTGGTTCATTCACGTGACATTATTGATTATAATGTGAGCATTTCATTTCAGGATGCAGGTTCCTTAACTGTAATGCGAGATCTGAGTCACTTACCACCGCAAATGTGAACCATCAAGCTAAAAAGATTATTGGGACTGAGCAATAAGGCATGCAATGTGAGCGTAGCCTATAACTGTACAACAGCAAGGTGAAGCTACAAGATAATAACATTGTGAATAATAAGTGGCCACCAACTATAAGCACTGGTCCTAGAACAGTACTGTAAAATTTCAATTAAATAATATTATATGCGTATATGAGCACCAAATAGGCTGTTTTTAGCAGGGCACTGGTAACCAAATGGACCTGAATAATGGTTCTCACCTGTACAAAGCTGAGAGAGGCCTCTTTAGGCCTACCTTCGGCCTGTACAGTCTAGGCTCTCCCGCCATGTTGATATCTGTGGGAAGAGTATAATTTGAATGCTTCAGACTTGGTAGAGGTAAAAGTAAAATCCTTGGGAACAACAATTCAAATTTACACACTTTCTCCTTACTCCTATTGTAGCCATCTGCCAAGACACGCTTGGTTTCTGAAAATCATCACACACTTGCCTCAGACAGCTTTGAGCTGTTATTTAATCTCATATAGACTTGCTTATGTGGTTTCTATCAGTGGGGAACCCTCAGGGCCTTCTAGGCCTTCAGAGAAGGCCTAATGATTTCTATCAAATAAAGTCTGTCTTTTAGTATATTATTTAATATAATCATTCAGCTCTGCAAGTACTAATAATCATACTCTTATTTAGTATACTTAGTATTTAGTATTACTGTAATAGTATAAGCTCTCCCAATGATAAGGCCATCAGGAGCTGGTTAGGACTGCTTGTAATTTATGGATTTATACACTATATTAACTACCAACATAATTAGGAACTGACAGTGGAATCAGCCAATCATGTTTTGATTTACAATGGATGGGACCAATTCTGTGAAAGAAATAGTCTATCTAGGCCTTCTGTAAGTCCTAGACATGTCACTGACTGCAAGTATGAGTGGTGGCTAGACCAATGTGGTTCATTCAGAAGTTACAAATAGAAAACAGTGGCATCAGCTCTATGCCAGGGCTCTTTACTGAAGGAGTAACTGTAAAACTGCTACAAGGTAAAATATACGTTACTCAGTCATGACAACTCATCAGCAGTGAAAAAGGTAACATTAAAAAAACAATTTCCTGTAGAGGGGTCCAGCAGCATTGTTCCTAGGAGAAAATGTTTTTAACATGAAAACACATGCACTCTGAGACTAAAATACAAGGGTAATTGCAGTGGAATTATTTAGTCCACTGACTTTAACAGCCATGCAAATACAAATCACATCCAAAAATTGTACGGTTTTCTAAGTATTTTGACTTTTTGGCAAAAAGTTCTTGTTTACCACAAGGTCAGTGTGTACAAAATGTGGCAAATATTTCACACAACTTCTCTAAGTGGGATTACTGAGCCCAGCATCTCCACAGTCCTCTCTTCAGACCTTGTTACCTGACCTGTTATATATACTCTCTGTCCACATAAATAGCTTTCTAATTTTCTCAGGTGCACACGTTATCACATATTCTACAGACATCTTGAACATGGCATTTTTCTGCAAATCTAAGTGCATCATTTCTATTTAATTGCAGGGTTTAACATACTGAAAAAAATACAACATAAAATATATAACATGCCATAACTTTTGTACAGACCATATTTTACAGTTTTTTCTGTATTATGCTAAATTTTACAAATAAACTGATGTCCAGGTGCGTGTGTTCGTGTATATATAGTGTGTATACGTCCACTTTTCTATCTATCCATAGGTATCACTGGTGTTACCAGTCCTCATTGGTGTTACACATAAGAAAGGTAACACCAGAGACAGTAACACCAGTGACATTTTTAATGAAAAATGCATTTTACAAAATGGCTGCTACAGAGCATCAAACCACATGTTGTCAATCAATGAATATCCACTAAAATATGCAATTTAATCCATTTGTATTCTATTTTTTCACAATTACCTAAGAATAAAGGAGGTCACACCAGAGACTTCAGCTAAAAGCTTCGTATGAAATCATGAGCTAAATGAAAAAATTCCAATAACTGAAAAGTTATTAGATGTGCTTTTTTCATAGATTCTCAGAAAATAGGTAAAAAGAAGTCAAGTGATGCCATCAGTGTGATTTTCATTTCAATTTACACAGTAACACCAGTGACACGACTCCTGGGGACCACAACTTTCATTATATATTTTATAATATTTATTGACATTTGTTTTCTTTATGTCATTTAATTTGTATATTCATGTATAGATTATTAAAATTGCAGAAAAACATGTTTTTTTCTTCGAAATATGGCACTCACCCTTTACACATGACTGTGGGGACAAGCACTTCTGTGGTGCTTGGTATTCGATATAATTGATTTAAAAACCAATATTGCTAAATTGATGGCTGAAGAAGGTGTAATTGTTAAAACAACTTATTGTTTTATTTTAAAATATAAATAAATTGTAACCCTAACATGTTTTTTAAGTGTAACATATTACAAATGCTAGGTACACAAATATATATATATATATATATACATCCAGAAAACATATCCAAAAGCATTTATCGCAATAATGACTAATTATTGACATATTGCCCAGCTTTGGTCAGGATTGGCTAGCGCTGCTTGCAGTAATGCTCAAAATGTAGCTTGTACTTGCGTTGCACCATGTCAGCAGTTATGTTTGTGTACTAATGTGGAGTATGTTTTTGGCCTTATGACCTAAAATGAAGGCCTAGGTCTAATATTCACGGTTCGCCACCTGTTTCCAACACTGTATGACATGCTGCTATCTATAAATATATAGAACAATGAAATAACTAAAGCAAACTTCAGACGGTGAACATTTAGCAGCTGAACGACTACATTTGGGGTCGGGGAAAATAAAACGTGCCTTTAAAGACTGACAGCCATGTGCAGGACTAAATCCAGCGTGCTAACGACAGGCTGCGCAGCAGCAGAAAGCGGTTGGGGTGATTCCACAGACACATGCATCAGTCTGCTGTCTGACTGACTGATAGCTCAGCTCTCTCTCATCACAGACAGACGATATCAGAGCTACTGCTTCTGCCTCTGAGCACACACACACACACACACAACACTCCCGTCCACACAATCGCTCCTGAGTGCTTCTCAAGGTCGCTCAGTGCACCCTGCCAACTCAATCACAGCTCAGAGTTTTTGCTGCCTTTCCTTTCCAGGAGATTTCAGTGTTGATTCTTTTAATGCAGGGAAATATACCTGAAGCTGCAGAAAAAAACACATCTTGATATTTACTGCCAGACTGGGTCGATAGTCTTTACATCTTTACCTGGGAACAGCTTTAATATGTAATAGAGTTTTAAAAAAGAAGAATAAAGCCTACAGACTATGCAATACAGTGAAGGTGAGGTTCTATTCAAATTTTCTACTGCTATTCACCTGTAGAATATGAGACGACTGAGGACTTTGGACTTTTGTGTAAGCTTTTATGCCTGTATGATTCAAATCTTTCTTCTATAAAACAAGTGTGAGGAATTTTAATTAGCTGTTATATTCAGGTTTGCACCTCCTGAAGCCATGACGTTCAGGACTGTGGAGCAGTGAGACAAATGACGTGCCCGTTATTTCTGCAAAAGTGAATATAACGCCCTCAAGACAACTGATATGAGACTATAGGTGAGAATTAACATCATGACAAAAATTCTTTTGTAAGGGAAAGTGTTAGAACGCTCTGTCACGGTTTCTTTTTGTGTGGTAAAAGGATCAGAATGTACTTTCGTAGGGTTTCGTTTCATGGTGCAAATCACATTTTCTGACATGCAGCTGCAGACTTGCAGACCAAACCCCAGGCCGGACAAAGTCTCAGCAGAGACATTATAAAAAGAGATGGTGATGGGTGACTTCCAATTTCAATCCTGTGAAATGGAATGTTTTCAAGGTTAAAAAAGTGGGAAAAAATAATTGCAGCAAATAATTGGTTAAAATAGGAACTACTTTTCTTCTATTGTCTCCCTCCACTCCACATACACACTGAACAGTCACATCATGCAAATGGCAGAAAGAAAGAGATGCAGCCTTTTAAGTTTCCCTTCTGAATCTCCATTTTTATCTAACTGAATTTGAAAATGCTGCTCTTATATATCATGTCACTTTATGATAGTACAATGTTTTTGTCACTAAATATGGTGGTGTGATGGGGTGAAGCGAGCTAGAAAAAGTGTGTTTAGGCATGGAAAAATCTAGGGTTAGGATTCAGAAACAGTGGACTAGACCACTGTTCTCTATACCTCATCTCTCTCCTCACTGACAGCATCATCCTTCTCTCTCTCTCTCTCTCTATCTCTCTCTCTCTTTTCAGTATCGCCCTGCCTGTCAGCTGTCAGCTTGTGATAGAAAGATCTCAGTGCTGTCCTCTCAGAGTGCAGGTGATGGAGGTTAGGCTGAGAGGACGTTCAGGTGTACTGTCAGTGCTAAGGGACTCTTGAGACAAGACTGAACTATCTCTGACTAACTGTCTGCTGTGGGACGAGGCTTTATTGGCTTTAGCCAATTTTGCATATGATTGTAAACATATATATATATATATATATATATAGCGCAAGCACAGCGTGTATAATCTCCAGTTCTAATAGAATGGGAGGCTCCAGAGCAGCTGCACATGAGTCTAAGGTCACCGTGTCCAATGCCAAGTGTCAGCTAGAAAGGTATAAAGCCCACCAGCATCAGATGACAGAGTAATTTTGTTCTCTGGAGTGATGGAGCTCCACTCAATGCCTTTAGGATGAGCTGGCATTGGTGATCCAGAATTAATCCTCCATCATCAGTAGCTAACCTTACTAATTCTTCTGTGGCTGAATGCCAGCAAATCATCACAGCAATATTTCAACATCAAGTGTAAAGCATTCCAAAAAAGTAGAGGCTATTACTGCAGCAAAAGAGGACAAGCTCCCTATTAATACCCTTGATTTCAGAAAAAATCTTGGATGAGCAGGTGTCTACAAACTTGTAGATAAATAAATATATTAGGGTAACAAAACACTCAGTACACAATTTGATTCAATTCACAATACTATGTAGTCTTCACGATGCAGAAGAAAAAACATGGCTATAATCATGGTGTTGCACTACTTACCAATGGCACTAGAGCTGGGAGGCAGGATATGCGCTGGAGTGCATTAGATGGCACAGTTAATAGAACGCCTAATCTCCACGGCGCACCCTGCCACAGTTTTGCATTGTGATGTCACAATGGACATTTGAACAACAGGAGTTATAAAAGCGAGCATGGCAGCGTAGCAACTTGTGCTTTTATTGTTCATTTAGCCTCGCCTCAAGTTTGTTGTACAGACTTAATTTAATATTACTACTTACACCCTGGTAAGGTGACTTAG